ACAATAATAGCATTCCTAATGAATGAATAAATAATTCTAAAAGTCACATAAAGCATTCATGCATTTTATCATATTCTGTCTCTTGCTCATAATAAAAGAGAAACTCTTGGGCTAATTGTTATAACTTGATTTTTCATTTAGTTTATTTAGATTTTTCATAAATAAATAAATATATATATATATCAAAACTACATCATTTCATTAAACTCTTACTGAAAAATATTAAAATTATATATTTTTAAAACCAAAAATAAAATTATTTTGAACTTTTCCCGAATTGTTTTAATGAAACGATATAACCGTTTTTACTGTTTTTACTCTTATATTTTTGAAATTTTGACTAGCAAACTTTAAAAATTAAGCCCTTTTTTTATTGATAGAGAATTAGACATAATCTCTTAAAGGTCTTTCATTTAATAAAAATTTGAGATTACAATCCATCTCTCTTCACCAGTATCAAAGTTTGAGCTCTAGATTTCCGATTTAAAATTAAGATTTCATGAATGGCGAATTTTCAAAAAAAAAAAAAAGATTTTATAATTTAAATAGTAATAATATAATTATAATATTACATAAAATTATAATTTTATAATCAAAATGTCGCATAAAATAAATAAATGAATGTAATATCATAAATAAATCTTTAAATAAAAAAGAAATCAAATCATGACACTTCATGTTTATAAGATTAAAATATTACGTCACATTATAACTTACATCATTTTCATAATTCATTACATTTACGAAAAAACCTTAACACAGCTAAACGGGCTCTACTCCAGGACACAACAATAAGCATTAAGCCCAGTAGCACATTCATTTCCTCCAGTTACAGGCTCCAACTCAAAATTTCCAAGACTAATTGAGCAGTAGCACTAGGCATGAGGCCCATTATTTGTAGCCTAATGAAGGTAACGAATCAATGACCATTTCGACTATTGTGTGGTGTGGTTGGGCTTAACTTGTATCTGATTTATTCAAATCTGGTTCATATTATGATTTCATTTGAAGCCCAAAAGACCCACCATGACTTTCTATTATTTATTTTTTAGAGGCATTTGTTTTGATTTTTTTTTTTTAAACAACTATAACTATCAATTTTACTCAAAGGAATTAAATATTTTAAATTATAAATAATTTAATTATTAAATATTAACTATCAATTATTAACTTTATTTAAAAATTTAATCTAAACAGTCCCTTTTAAGTTTATCTTAAAAAATAAAGAAACCGTTGAACTGTTAACATCAGGAGGGAGATAAACGAGCGTCTTAGCTTTCGAAGCTCAAATCAAATTGGATTTCCAGATAAGGAGACAATGTCGGCAGGGCCCCACCAAAGACTTAACAGACCTTCCCCCATCAATCATAATTGGTTTCAGTTTTCTCACGCATCCTTCCAGCGCGTGACGTTAATGCAAGCACTTTGTTCGTCTGTCGGAATGTACACGATGTGGGACTGTAGGAGTAGTAAAGACGAGTTCTATTTACCAAAAATTAAAAAATTAGAAAATTAAAAAAGCCGAGTTCTACACTTCTACTACACTCCTTCTCCTTCGATTACTCTTTTTTTTTTTTTAACATTTTTTTTGGTAATTGGGGAATATGAAACATAAATTTAATAAAATTAATAACTAATAATTAATATTAAAATTAATATTTTTAAAATTTTAAAATTATAACAAATTACATTAAGTTTATGTGATACATATCTTATTTATATAAAAAAAGTATCTAAAAAATTATTTTTTAATACATTAAAAGGTTTGTTTATTTTGTGTTAAGTTTCATTAATTATAGTACATATAATTAATTTTACATAAATTTTAATATCAAATTTATTTTTTTACATATTTTGAATATAGATATTTTATTTTATTTTTGTTTTACAATTTATATTTTATTTTAGTTGAATCTAATATATAAATTTGTACAAAATTAATTATAAATACTATATATTTAATAAGATTTAATGTGTACTCCAAAAAATATAAATTAAAAAATTCTTACATTAAATGATAAATAATATAATAAAAAATAATTTTCTCATTTCAAAAGTTTTTTTTTATCTTAAAATTTAAATTTAAAACTTTTAATATAAAATTTTAAATTATTAACCACTAATAAATATACACAATAAAAAAGTGTTAAAAAAAAGAGCAATGCTAGGGGCACTCGCCTCTTGCACTCTCCGGCCAACACTTCCCCTTTCATTGGGCTACGTAAGCTTGTTGTAGGCTTAGCGCAACTCTTAAAAAAAAACCAATATAACGTGGCCCAATAAAAGTGAAAGTGTCGGCCGGAGAGTGCAGGAGGTGAGTGTCCCTAGCATTGCTCTAAAAAGAAATGCCCTTGGCATTCCTAGAGTAATAAATTGCACATACAAACTCCACTAAAGTGGTTTAATTGCTGCGCGTCTCTTTTGAAAATACTGGTTTATTTACTTGATTTAGGAATCAAATTTTTAACTGTTACCTTTAATAATTTTAGTTTATTAATTATTATTCTTATAAAATAAATAAATAAATTGTAGTACTAAAATTTTTCGCGTTTAGTTTTCCCGCTGTAAAATTCAAAAAGATGGACAAAAACCCTACGAAAACAGCAGTCCGACTGTGCAGAGCACGTGACATGCATGTGCGGTCAAATTTAAATTCCGTTTGGTATAATTTAATCACGACTTCCACCACTGCCGTGCCGCCCTGGAAGTTGACGATGAAATGAAACCATGAAACAATGATATTTCTCATTTTTTACATTTTCTTTTAAAATAACACTAGTCAATGGGAATGCCATGGATATATATACTCAAGAATGTGGTATGATGTTTTCTTCTGCAATACTCTATATACCATAATGCTATGGTCCTATGGACCTTATATACTTCTTATATTTTAAAATAAATGTTATTTATTAATTTTTTAATTAAAAGTTTAAATATAATATTTATATTAATTTATAATATTATTAAAAAAGAAATAAAATATAAAAATATTTTGTGATTGAATGGTTAATTAAAATGAATAGATAGTAGTAGAATTAAAGTAGAAAAAATATTTATTTATTTTCAAAAATGTAAAAAATAATGATTATTTTGGAACAAATGAAGTATAACATGTGGTACTATTCTTTTATAATCTGCCTTATGCAAATTGTATTTTTTTTTTTTGAGCTACTCCTCTATCAATAGTTATACAAAGTGTATTTTGTGCAATGTAGATAACATTTCACCTTTATTGATAAAGTATTTACTTTTTACTTTACTCTTTCAACTTCAAAATATATAAGAAAACTCCTTTTTTTTATATTTGATGATGACTCTTTTTTTTTTTCCATGTATCACGGATTTAAACTTAAAATCTTTGATATAAAAACTTAAATTCTTAACTATTGAAACATTTAAGACAAATAATAAAACCATTTTAATTTTGTAAAAATTTATATATCTCATAAGTATTTTTAATATATTTTAGAGTTTAGAATTAGGAAATAAAAGAAGAAATCAAAAGCTTTTATAGCTCAATTGGGCAGGAGGTCTTCAATTTGATTCTCAGAATCTTGTCTTTTTTTAGTGGAAAAAGATTGTGTTCTAAAATAAGTACACATAAAATGATATATATAGCTTATAGAACATATAGCTTATGACCTTTAAAGCTTATGACCTCTAGTGTAGTTCTAACCTAAGGGGGTGTCTTTTTTTATTTTTAGTACAAATTATTTAAATAATTCAGAGATAATTTTTTTTAATAAAAATAAAAGATTTTGAATTTGAATCCTATGACAATAACAAGATTAAAGGATAAGAAAGTATTATTTTTTAATATATAAGCTAA